CCCATCGGTTGGATATGCAGAAGTGGAAAAACTATATTTGTAGAGACGGCTGATATTTACGACAACGTCACCTTCTGAACTGAAAGTGCCACCTCCCCAGCGCTTTAAGAGGGACTTTCCACGGCATATTTTGGGACGAGCGGCCAATGCCATCGTGACACAGAACAGTTTATGCGGGAAATGATAATACTCTCAAAGGCGACAGCTTGAGAATCCCTCACGTGGTTGGATCCTCAGAAAGAAATGCGGAAAAAAAAAGCAGAATGAGCATCAACTGCCCCTATAATGTTCAACGCCTTTCTTTGTCATTTTTATTCTGTTTCCACCTAAAGCTAAATTGAACAACAACTATTTTGAAGGTTGTTTCTGGTTTTTTTTAGTGCAATTGTTATCTCGTTTTCTTTGTATGTCCATTTTCATTAGTTGCACAGAAATCTCCATATATATATATATATAATACATATATATACATGAAAAAATAATTTTTGCTAGTGTTTGCATCGGCGAGTCCCATGCTCAGACTTACAAGCTGCTGGCTAGGTTCCACATTATAACTGATAGTAACAGCACAGGGGACATCACAACTGGAGCCAAAATGATTTCCTCCAACAAAAGTAAATAGAAAAGCAATTTCCCCCCTTTTATTAAAAAAAACTCATTTTAGAGTGATTATATATGTCGTATGCATAATCACTCTAAAACGAGTGTGCACTTTATATCATATATTTATAACATAAATTTATATTTATAATATAAATTGTGCGGATATTATAAAAAGAAACGCAACCAACTTGCGTTCGACAGCTCCCTGTATTTTGGAGTGCAATGTGATTGGAAAACTGCAATTGAAGTATTTTGGTAAATGAGTGTGCCAAATTTCAACAGGGCATTTGTTTTCCACGGACTTTTGCTGGAGAGCAATCAAAATATACCCACGTGCTGGATGTACTTCGAGTTTCTGCACACGATCAGTTTGAGTCTGCAATGTTGGGTCGTCTGAAATGGTTCGTAAAGATTCTGGAGATGTCCGCCTATGGCTGTATCATTGGTGTTTGTTTCTGTGTATACGATGCATATTTGTGTATGTGTGTCAGACGTGGATACCGATGTAGCATCTATGCACATGATCACTAAGGCTATCGGGTATCTAATAATGATTTATTAATAACAGCAATCAGTACCATGGGATGTGTTTAAGGGGGAGTTGTACCAGTTGCGCATGCACAGTAGCATCGTGACATTGACAGTGATTTTCTAGAAGAACACGTCATTTTGGCGTGTGGTCGTGCAATAAAAAAGCAAAACTTTAAAAACTCCTCTCCTGGGTTGACAAACCCACTGATCAAACAGCTAGACTTCACTCCCAACGACTATTTTCTTTTTTTTTTAAAAAAAGAGAAATCCGCAGGATCACAGTGGCTTCAATAATAATTTGTCTCTGTGGTGACATTTAATGTATTAATGTTCTTTATCCTTAACGCGTCAGCGGTGTTTCCCTGTGCACTTGTGCGAATTTAGAGGAAGAATAACACTGGTGTAAGTAATGTTGACTCTTTCACATTCTCCTGAACGAGGTGACCATTTATGTGGAACCGATGTTGCTTGTGAGGGGGAGAGTGTTTTTAAAACGTTGCGTTTTATGTTAATGTTTCAGTGAAATCAGCGTCGGATCTCTGAATTAACCCTGAATTAATATTTATTTATATAGCACTCGGGTTATCTATCCCACGGCAAAGACTGAGTACATCGGTTTATAGATTTTGAAACAAATCGAATTGCCCTTTTGTTGCAACAATTGAGAGTTGGTGGAAAGGAACATATATTGTTCTCTCAATGTATTTCAATAAGTATATTATTCGGACAACAGTAACATTCTGTGTTTTGCTTTTCTTATTAGAGCTATTAAACAGATCCAATTTTTAAATGAGCGATTCTTTAGTGCACGTGAAATGTGAGTGTTTTATATAAGCGCCGAGGAGTTATTAATATTCATTAGATGAAGTCGCAATATAAGACACGTTTAGTATCACCTTCGACGTGTGCTCTGACAATAATGTTTGTGTAAGGTGTGACTGCTATGGGCAGTACAAATAAACCAGTATTTTGTGCGTGGAATTGAAAAAAAACGAAGAGGAGACAGTGAGTCTGCGACAGCAATACAGCGTCCCTCTGCCGAGATGTGCTCAGGGATTTATTTCAAACTAAAGTCCTCACGCGGAATCCGTGCTCTTTGTGTCAGTCAGTGGGGCACAGTTTAATACCATTCGTTCAAACACTGAAACTGAGTTTATTATGTACAAACCGGATGCATTAGACCGGTTGGTGCAATGACAATTAATTACAACCAAAGTTATTAGTAACGTGTAGCCTGCTTCATTATTGTGTGTATGTGCTGGAATAGTTAGGATTGCAGAAACATGTTAGCATCCTGCACTGCGCGCAACGCTATATGCTTTGTGTATGTATATTATACTTTTAAGTTACCTTATAAATAATTGGCAATTCAAAATGTACACGATTGAAATGCACGTGGTGTATTTATTTTATTACTTGGACGCAATGTGATCTTATATTTTAGAATTGTATTGGGATTTATTTATAAAAGTACTTGATTTATTCAATACCGCCTGAATTATGTGCGCTATTCCACAAGTTGGAGTAACGTTTTGTTATGTGCTACTCTTCTGCACTTTATATTTACTCTGTATTTATAAACGCTACCTATATATTGGAAATATTGCACAACGCATTCTATATGATAAACTTTGCAGGAGGTTGTATTATGTTCCAGCATCAGTTTAGTTCAGTTTTAGAACTCTAATATATTTACTGGAAGTGCAAAAAGTTTAGGTATTTTGAGGGGGGGTGGGGGGGGGTGGGGTGGGGGGGTAGAACTTTCAGCAAATGCACAGAATAGCATTGGCCATGTGAAGTTACTCTTCTTCATATCAAAAACGAGTTTCCCTGTTAGTTCAACGATTGTTGTGCAAAATTGGATATTTAGGTGATATTTTACACTATTTTCTGCTTGCACTAACATGGAGTTTTACGGAACTTAAATCTGTGGATTGCGATTCTGAATGATTCTTAAGTTTGCGTGTGTACATACAAATATAATTTATATATCACCTTTTAATTTACGTTCTAATGTTTTGCAACCATTTGTACAGTAATCATTTTATAATATAATATTATACACTAATAGATGTTCTATAAACATATACAGTGTTATATTTAGCCATATGACTTTAATAAAATACATAGCACACGAATTCTTAAGGATTATACGCATTGGTGTATTATGTGCGATGTGCGATGTGCACATTTGAAATTATATAATTTAATAACAATTTAATTGTTTGATCCACATGTTCTGATCCTTCTCTTGTGGAACTATTTAATCTCTGAATAAATGCAAGGGTCCCGACGCTGATGATAATCGTCCTTGCATTCAGCGCAGCACCGTCCACCTCGGCAGGAGATCTCGCGTGGTTTTCACCGTAAAAGTGTAGTAACTGTGTGTTTTGTGGGCGATGCACGCGATTTGCACGATGCCCAGGGAGCTGGTGTGAAGCCTGAGCAGTTGTGTGTGTGTGTGGTGGGGGGGGGGGGGGGGGGGGGGGGGGGGGGGGGGGGGTGTCAGAGGTCAGACAGACTCAGCGTCCGGCTCTGTGAGGCTCACGCAGGCGGCGCTGAGCGGCCAATGGGAGGTGTGGGGGAGGCGTGTGATTGACAGTCGGGCGGGAGCAGCGCCCCGGCTCCAGGGAAAGCTGAGCCGGGAAAAGGCTGGCGGCGAAACCCAGCTCTCACACTCGGCTCGACAGGCAGCCAAAGTTCAGCCAAGGAACAGCCTGTCCAGCGGCGGCGGCCGCCTGCCACCCACTCCAACACTCGGGGCTGGGAGGAGGGCAGACTCACACTCACACACACCACACTCACACACTCACACTCACACACACTCACACACACACAGTGCTGCAGGACACGGAGAGGATTATTGCCCTGGGGCACTTTGTGCAAGTGTTTTTTTTTGCGGAAGAGATTGTTTGCAATGCCCCAGAAAATGCAACCTGGTTTTTAGTGAGCAATTCTGAGGTGAGCTACGGGGTGATGGGGGGGGGGGGGGGGGGGGGGGGGTGTCCGTGGGTGAGGGGGTGTTCGGGGGGGGGGATGGATACCCATGTGGACAAAATAACAGTATGAATTCCATGAGGACAACAACCAACCAAAAAGAGGAATAATAAACGTCTTTTGATGCAAAAATTGGGAAAGGAAGCCCAAGTAAAATTGATGCAAAGTTGGAAGGCCTCTCTGAAGTTAAAATAAGTCATTAAGTCAACGAAAACAATGCAAGTCATATCCATATTTTGTATTAAAATTTCGTTCACTTGAGAATGCAGGCGTGCTCTCACTTAGAGTTGGAATCCACCCACAGCTCCCTGACTCAGCTCCAGCCATATCCACACAGTGAGCTTTTATTTTGTTGTTAGCTTAACCTGAAATGTGGTTCCCGTACTTTCAGTAATTAATGTTTGTTACTTTCTGTCTCCCATCAGTCACTTCCCCCCCGTCTATGGGAATGCAGAATGAATCGTACGGAAACTGCTGCTGAAATAAGAAAGGAACTTTGGAACAACGAGATACTGGATTATGGCTCTTTCCTTGCGAAAGCAGTTTCTTTCGAGGTGTAAGAGCACAGCAGAGAGCTCCTGTCCCGGTGCACCAGCAGCACAGTAATGACAAGTCGGCTGCAAGACTCCTGATCTGCATTTGGATTGCGTTCAAAAGCTCACACTTCACACATATAAACACATTAACTGCACCACTTGCCTGGATGCTCTCGTCTACGTTTTCGCTTCCTATTTAGTGTTGCAACACTCATTTAATTGAAAAGGACAAAACTTGTTTTTATCATTTTCCTTTTCCCTAAGAACAATTAAGCTTTACTCTCTACAGTATATATATATATATATATATATATATATATTGGTTTCACGTGTGATGCTACAGCCATTGCAGTTTCTTTTCCTGTGGGATGAACCTGTGGCGGTCGAACTATAAGAAAAGGGGAAAGAAAACGAAATGAAGGAAAAATCGAAAAATGCCGCCCGGACTAGACGGGAGAAGGAAAATAGTGAATTTTACGAACTGGCGAAATTATTGCCACTTCCATCAGCCATCACCTCCCAACTCGACAAAGCTTCTATCATAAGACTGACAACTAGTTATTTGAAAATGAGAGTGGTTTTCCCTGAAGGTAAGTGAGCACAATCCAATGTTCAGTCACCATGGATTGTTTTCTGTTGGTACAGTAAAACTGCTTTAAATAATCAAAGAAACTGCTTGAACGAGTTAAAATGTGCTAACCATGTATTTTAAATGAAACACACAGAGAAACACATTTACTTTGCACGGTGGCTATGCAATCCACATAATGTACAGGTAAGCGTTTTACTCGAGCATTCATTCCTAAATTTGTTTTTTTTTATTATTTAGTCATACCATTAAATGAGGGGGTGGGGGGGGGGGGGTGGGGGGGAGAGTAAAGAAAACGAAATATGTAACTAAAAAAAAGGTCAGGGTGGTCATTCTTCCAGCAAATAAAATACGTAGAACATTCACCACAGTTTAAAATAGTAAAATGCATCTTTTGATTTGAGATTATATTTTAATTATATTATCATTTGTTACTAAAAAAAAACTGTGCCATTTCTGTTAGGCCAGACATTGATGGCTATTGAGTCACACATTTTGTTTTCCAAATCCATTAATTTTATTCTATTAAATAGTATAAAATATATTTAGTGCATGGATTCTCCATTGCATTCACGTGAGGATCCTTGTTTTATTTGTTTTATATGCAAGACCGTAAGTACATACCGGGTATGTCCTATCATTTGTTTTACCAAAGTTACAGCGATATAAAGCAATGGAACGTCAATCGGAACAATAATTATTTCACTATTATATTTTTATTAATGTTAGGACGTACCAACATGTTTTTGTGCATTGAACTTTACTGTGCAAATCAATTTCGTTGCTTGACTGGGACAGGATGAAGCTATGAAATATGGCCTGGAATACGTTTCAACTTATTTATATGGCAGGAATATACGAATAGAGAAGACAATCTAATTCAACCGCGTGGTAAAACAAAATAAAACAAAATATTGCTTCACAGCGCGCACAGATCTGTTTATTTAAAGACGAGGCGTTTGATCGCTGCACTGTATGGAGGCAATTCGCCGAATGTAAAGTTAAAGGCGCAGCAAACTGAATGTAAGATACATTGGTGCCGGGAATCGCCGGAGATTGCAGTTGAACCCCAAAGATCAGTTATTGTGTATTTTTTTATGTTTTGCGAGTGCGCAGGTTGCGGCCCAGAATTGGGATTTATCCACACATCACGGGCATCAGTGTTTGAATTGAACGCCTGCTCTTTGTGTGGCTATGTCCTGGAAGAAAAGCGGCAGTAAAATGCGATACAGTATTTGAGTCATTTTGTTGTATCCCAATCGATTGATTGTAAACACCATGTGCTATCTAATGATTCGGGTTATTTGCATCATAAATATTCCACACTTGAAAATCCAAATGTCCATGAGACTTTTTTAAAAAAAAAACATTATTAGCAATGATTTACCAGCCCCAATGGGCTACTTTTCCGCGTGATTTTAGGAGAGACTTGTCAATTATTTTTTTTTTGCATATCTGACGAGCTGTTTGATCAAAAAAAGCATATGGTGCTGGTTGTAAGACGGTGAGTAATCTATACGGTTTCAGGAGAGAGCGGATCCTGTCGTCAGCGAATCCCTCTGTAAAAACAAGACGTTTTAAAACTCATGGGAATTCCAGAGCAAAGTGCACTACATCAACAACTGCTAACCATGGAATATGTTAATCATTTAAAGAGGAGAAGAGGAGAAAAGCGAGAACTGTCGCGCAACTATCTGCATATGGGTTGTTATTGCAGCAAATGCAACATTCTCTAATTTTGGTTTGTGGACGTACAATTTCTAGTGCCGAGTATTAATCGTGATTATTTAAAACCGTTTAAAAAATTCTGGTCCAGGCAAACTGCAAAAAAAAAACCCGAATGATCCGATCTATCTACGGATTAATTTTGTTTTAATTAATTTGCCTTCCAGTCATAATTATGTCATGTTAAATTGCCACAACAGATTTAAGAAACGAGTAACCGATCAATAACGTAACAGTAACTGGGAAATTATTTCGTTTCACATTCTGTCCTTAAAATCAGGTGAGCTAAATATAAGGATTTTCGTTTGTGAACAGGTGCCATATAATTGCGTTTTTTAAAAAATATACAAACATATTTTTCCAATTAGACTGAATAACATTACATGTCGTTTAAATACGAGATACTCGTAGCTCAAAACACAACATGGCGACAATATTAGTTTAATATTATTATTACTATTAACGGTTACACCGATTATTATTAATGGTTGTAATAGCAATATCCAGTAAATGTAGAAGATAGACCTCCTTACCATTTACATGTAAATGTGTGCTGTAATTTCAAATTCCCCTATACGCTTAGTAGCTGAAAACGTAGGAATACTACCATTATTAGTAGTAATAATAGCAGTAATAATTGGACATATTCGGCATTGTAGAACTTAGTCCTCCAGTCAATTATTTATATTGAATTATAAATTAATTTGAAGTATCATGTACGTGCAACAGCGGAAACACAGATATATTGTAAATATTATTAATCATAATTGGTAATATTCTGTAATGTAGAATATAACCTCCATTCAAGTATATGCAAAAGACTAATTCAATGCTAAGGACAATTGTACGTGCAATTCTATGTTATTAAACCACGGACCTATACAAACCTCTGTCAAGCTGAATGGCAAGAACATTTCTGTCGCCAGAATTGAAGCGTTGATATAACTGTCGCAGTATTTAACTTACCGTTGTAGGCTCTATTACTACATTTGCAAAAGAAAGCAGGTACATTTTTGTAATTACTCAGGAATAAATGACACCTATTGCGGGCAGCCACTTAGGAAGTATTTCTCTGAGGTTTTTGATTGCAGATGCGTAAAGGAGTGAGTTAAGCGAGTGTGGACGTGTGTACTTCAGGTCCATTCAGCAGCTATATTTCTGTCTGATCAATTTCATTCGTAAGATTGCTGTTACGACATGTTTTCTGAGGGAAAGGAGGCAGTCTACGAAATACGGCGGGTCCTGTTTATGTTTGTGGGTATTTATGAAGTGCCTCAGATACCAACGACAGTGTCCCTCTTCTAAGAGGTTGACTAACGTTATTCTTTTCTACGTGCAATCAATTCCTAAGGCGTTACATGGTTAACGGTGTATGGAAATTTAGGTGTGTGCTGTTAGCCCGAAAAGAAAGAATGGCATTCGGTAACCTCCACAAATATAAAAGCACAGGGAATTTAGTGAAGCATGCACAGTTTCGAAACAAAGATTTCATTCAGTCTCATCATCTCAGTGTCTATACGGTACAATTGACGTTGTTATACCCATCTTGTAAAAGATAGATCCAGTGCAATTGCTTTGCGCTGTTTACCATTACTAGGTGTGTGGTGGATTAAAAATGCAGATTTCAGTCTGGAAAGCAGCTCGTGGGACAATTGAGGCGAAAGTAAAGAATCCCACGGGATAAGGCGGTTGTGTTTAGGAATAACTTTCTATGTAAACCAAATTTGCACAGCGTCAAACGCAGGTCAGGAAATATTGTTAGAACGAGATGACAATCCGTATCAAAGCAGCTGCTGTCACTGTTACTTTTAAGCGGGCGTCACGACAACTCGATCCACCAGCTTGCTTTTCAACGGAAAAGTTATCCCTATATAATTCAGACATACCTGGTAGGACCCGGCTTAGTGACATTGGGTTAAATGTCAGTGATGAGAGCAAACGGAATCGAGAGTGCCTGCAAAGCACCGCTCGCCTTCCCAGTGATCTGTATATCCGTGGCCGTTTTATATGTGGAGTTCCCCAGATATTTCCTAGATGAGCACATGTAGCTCGATTTACAATTCACAATAGTATTGTTAGTGCAATAAGCAGACACGGTGCCTTTGATCGCACTGTTTCCTCATTTAACAGCTATTAAAACAACACACACACACAGACACGCATTTTACTGAAAACGAAACACGATGTCCAAACCTTCAAAAGCTTTTTTTTTTTGGGGGGGGGTGGGGGTGGGGGGGGATCTCATATTGGCGACAAATCAAAAAAAAAGATGACATTTGACTCTGAGAATTACTCCCCCTTCCCCGTACTCCCGATTATGTTTTCTTTGATTTAACACTTAGATCTGCTAAGACAAAAAGGTCAAAGACCGCTTTAAGACTTCAGAGGTGTGTGTTATTTATCAATCTACAATTTAATTGACATGTACCACTGATTGTTGGGCTCACAGATGTCATTATGATTTATACAGAGTATTAATATTAACAGACAGGGAGTTAAAAGCGCGGCCCTACCTTTTCCTTAGAACTTTATAGTCGGTTGCAGAGTGAAACACAATACGGAGCTTGCGGGGTTAAAATCACTTTGGAAAGAAGCTGTGACTACACACTGCTTACAGATCTGCAGCTGGTAACATTTTACAAGTGTGATTCAGAAAAACATGTGATTCATATTCTTGTTGATGGCTTTATTCTTATATTTGTATCGTTCCTGACATTTCGGAGTGTCCCAGTGAGCTGGCCGTGTGCTAACACTGCCTTTTGATTGTTTTGTATAACCTATAAGAGGCCTGTTAGGAGAAAAACATATTTTTTTACGGACGAGGAAACCTAGTTACACGAATTCATCGCACTGGCAATTATCTGGAGAATTTGCAGAATGGTTCTGTAGAAGGACGAGAAGTTCTGCCGTTTATCCTGAATAAGAGCAGAACAAAAAACATGTCTTTCAACAGGAGTCCACCAAATTTCATTATAACACCTAAACCCTCCAAACATCGTCAGTATGTAGGCGAGGATCCCATGCACTAATACACTCAGGCTCAGATTTTCTAATACACAGAGAGGCAGCTTAGACCCCCCCCCCCCCCCCCCCCCCCCCACACACACACACACACACTCACACGCACACACACACACTCTCTCACACACACTCACACACACACTCACACGCACACACACACACACACTCTCTCACACACACACTCTTTCACACACACTCAAACACACTCACACACACACACTCTTTCACACACACACACTCTCTCTCACACACTCA